GAAGGGTTGTGGTGGCTTAGACCACTACTTAGATGTTTGCATATTCTACGGTTATGGGAATTTACCTGTGTGTTGCTATAATTTTCCTGAAGTGAGTTAAGTGAAAAGTTCTTATATGATGAAGTGTTAGAATATTAATGTTAAAATCGTGTTCTATCGTATGTCGGCACATTGGGTGCAGTGAGTAGCATGGAAATTCGAAGTGAGGATCAAGGTTGCAGCTTGGTGCTGGTAAGGATGTCACGAGCTCGGATGAGCAGGAAAGGAGCTTCGGTGTTTAAAGTAAGTCGGCATTGTCTTCAGCGNATGCTCCCAACCCCGAAATCACCTAACGGAGCTAACGGAACCATCGGATTTCCATTCCGAGGTCGTCTTCACACTGTTCCGACTACGAAGCACTTTTCAACACTTAAGCTCTCATTTAGGGACTAAGTGTCCCAAAACTCTCCGAAACTCAACACCGAACGTCCCGGCAAACCAAAATAGCATAAATGAACTTACGGTAAGCAGTCAATAGGGGATCGGGGCGTAAATTCTTAAGACGACCGGCTGGGTCGTCACAAATGGTAATTTCATTACAAAATATTCTTAGTTTTACAAGTATGCAAATTGAACACACATACACACACACACACACACACACACACACACACACATATATATATATATATATATATATATATATATATATATATATATATATATATATATGTATGTATGTATGTATGTATGTATGTATGTATGTATATATCCATTTACTTCTTAATTTTCAGGAAAAGGAACGTGGGTGAGATGTGACTTATGCTGAGGTCTTTGCGGAGACCCACAAGAAGGAGAAGAAGGACGGCACAAGAGAAGGATGGGTCGAATCGCGTGCTTCAAAGACATTTGTATGATCCTAACACCAACACTATATTATTTTCTTCTCTTGGTTTATTTTATTTATATAAAGTGTATTATTTTTATTTTAGGACAAGTATCATATTGATCTTGATGCATGGCAACAAACTCAGCCTGAAGGAACTCAGTCGGCCCCGAAAGATATGATTGCAATTTGGACACAGGCAGCTGGTGGCGTGAATAAAGGTATAAATATTATGTACTTATCTACTTTGGTATTAGTTTGAAAGTTGCGTGTTTGTTTTCTTACTTCTTTTATTTTCTTTTCTTTATTTCTAGTGAAAATAATAAATAAAGGTCGAGTCTGCGTTATTAGAGTACAGCCATCCTCCAGTCGTCCACCAACAGCATTATTCACTGGGACATTAGAAGACATGGAAGCTATGCGTCAAAAAGTGGATCAAATATCACAAGAATTTCAAGCAACTCAGGCTTTAATCTAAAAATTATTAAAAAGAAAAGCAAGAAAGGAGTTGCAATGGAGTCTGAGTCTGAGGAGGGGACTGATTCTGAATAGGCTATTTGAATGTTTTAGAGTTGAAGTTAGAGACATGTTTAATTTATGTTGTTTGATTGTTTGTTGTTTGATTAGTTGGTTGAATTATTATAAAAATTACTGTTCGTTTTGTAGTAAATATTGAAATTGGATTGTTATATTAGGTTTTTGGTTGGTTGTTAGGTGTTTGGAATTGGTTGTTAGATGTTTGGTTGGCTGTTTTATTTGGCAGGTGGTGTAATTAAAAATACAATAGAATTCTGCTTAAAAATGCCCAGATTGTGACTTAATCAGTCAAAAATCTGGGTAATTTCTGGTTATGGGTGGAAAGAAGGCTCGAGGTAGACCTAAGAAGCAAAAAATTAAGGTGGATGACAAAATTCCAAAGCTCAATACCATAGGAAGGAATTCAGCAGTGGTTATGGAGTCTATTTCTTGGGCTCCGAAGATGCAAGCTGGATCTGCTAATCTCGCACAGATCCCTCATGGAGATGCTTCAGGATCAACTAGACAACAATAGAAAAAGGCAAATCAAAGCCCAATCCACATGCATGTCGACCTAAGGGGTAGTGTCACACCTCCATCTGCTCGAGCTCCTATTGTTCCATTGAAGAACAAGGAGCAGGAAGTTGTATCTCAAGTTTCTTTACCTGTAGCTGTCACTATTCCATTGCCGGAGGTGCCTAAGGAGTCTACTTGGGTCAGAGTACTAACAGATAACAGATCTACTGCTAATGGTATGATATTGAGCTACATAACTTCTGAAAATTGTAGAAGGAAACCTAGTGGCTAAGCTTGAAAAAACAAAAATTGAGAAGGAAAACTTGAAATGGAATTGTGCCTTAATTGTGTAAGCTTGGTGAAAAACCTGGATACAATTATATGAAGCGATACACTAATCAGATGTGGAACACTGTGACTATGCCAGAATTATACTATCATGATGAAGGTTATTACATAGTCAGTTTCAAAGCATGGCTGATATGAAAGAAATTATGTGTGCTGGTCCATACACAGTGAATTAGACCTTTAATAATGAAACAATGGTCTCCACAGTTTGATTTTGGCTCAGAATTCTTGACAGAAATACCTTTATGGGTAAGGTTTCCTAAGCTGCCTATGAATTGTTCGAGTGGCAACTCACTGAGCAGAATTGCAAGCACCATAGGAATTCCAATGTTTGCAGACAAGTGCACTGCCAAACAATCACGAGTTTCGTTTGTTAGAATCCTTATTGAAGTAAATCTTACCAAGCCCTTACCAAGCAAGGTACCAGTCATGGATGAATTAGGTGCTATATTTTAGCAGGTTGTTGAATATGATTGGAAGCTAGAGTTTTGTGAAAAGTGTCTTAAAACTGGGCATGACCATGCAAAAATTCCCAAAGAGGGAGTTAAACAAGATCAACAGTCCAGGAAAAGGAGACCACCACCAATGAAGCAGATATGGAAAACTAAAGAAGCAATAGTAGCTTCTACTTTCAGACGAAAGCCAAAAACAGGTGGATGAATCAAGTAAGGAAGTAAAGTGTACTTCTGAGCAACCTGAGAATCTGGAGGACAAGCAACTAACAGAGGAAGGCCCACAAAGACAACTAGAAAAAAAGAAGATTGAAGTTGAGATCAATGGGGTTCCAATGAACTATGCTAAAGCAATACTATCTCCTGGGAAGCAAGGGCCACAACAACAAACAATTTTAGTTATGATAACTAACTTGAAACCACCTGTCACAGGTGGTCAAGCTCACCATACTTGATGTCTTGGATGGTGTGGAACATAAGGGGTACCAACAAGAGATACAAACAAAAAGAGTTGTATACCTACATAAAAGAGAATAATATAAAGTTAGTTGTCTTAGTAGAAACCAGAGTTAAGAAGGATAAGGCTGGCCATATAGCTCAGCTAGTGGTACCAGGATGGCAAACGAGGTACAATTATGAACATGCACTTTAATGGGAGGATTTGGATGTTATGTGATCCTAACTTTATGACATAACAGTGCTAGATCAATCTGCTCAAATAATGCACTATAGCATAGTTAGCAGAAAGAATCCAATGAACTGCTTCATAACAGTAGTTTATGGATTCAACACCATCAATAAGAGGAAGCCATTGTGGCAACAGTTACAAGCCTTAGCACCACAAAGCACTAAACCATGGATTATCTGGGTAGACTTCAACTCAGTTTTGACAATACAAGATAAGCTTTATGGTAATCCAGTCACAAGCAATGAAGTGCAGGATTTCTCAGATTGTATGCATGTGTTAAACTTGAATGAGTTACCTAGGAAGGGGGATTTCTACACTTTTTCAAACAAGCAACAAGGTGCTGATAGAGTCTATAGCAAGATTGATAGAGCTATAGGGAATGATGACTGGATGCAAACATATGGGCACATGGAAGTAGAATATAGATTGCCATTCATTTCAGATCATGCTCCGATGGTAATAACAATGAGGAGAGCAGAACCAAGTGGTAAGATTCCATTTAGATTCTTCAATGTATGGGCTAGCCATCCAAACTTCCTGGCATTGGTAGAAGAAGTATGGAAAGAATATCATAGTACAGATCCTATAAAGAATGTCTGGTACAAGTTGAAGGCTTTAAGGCCGGTACGGAAGCAACTAAATAACACAGAATTTAGAGGCATCAAAGAAAGGTTGGAGCAAACTAGAAATAAGCTGCAGGGGATACAAGATCAATTGTTTAGCTACTACTCAGATGAACTAGTTGCTAAAGAGAAACAACTCTTAGAGAATCTGGAAAAGTGGTCATTAATAGAAGAAAGCATCCTTCAATAGAAAGCTCGAGCTAAATGGATAAGACTAGGAGATGCAAGTTCCAAGTATTTTTCAGCTATTATGAAGGAATGAAGACAAAAAAAGTCATCACAGAACCCGTCAATGCTTTTGGAGATAGACTAACTGACCATCACCAGATCCAAAAAGACATCATTACCTTTTATAAATCCCTGATGGGATTAGCTGCAGCCCAATTACCTAGAGTAAACAAACAGGTGATGAAACTTGGACCAATGCTCAATCATATGCAGCAGATCAGTCTCTATGCTGAAGTTACAGAACAAGAAATCTATGAAGGGTTTTGTGCTATTGGAGATGATAAAGCACCAGGGGTAGATGGATATAATGCCTTATTCTTCAAATCAACTTGGCCTCTTATAACTTAGAAATTTGTCAAGCAGTTAAACAATTCTTTCAAATAGGGAAGTTATACAGAGCAATCAACTACACAGCTATCACATTACTTCCTAAAGTTCCTAATCCTTCTAGCATCAAAGAATACAAACCAACAGCTTGCTGCACAGTACTATATAAACTCATTGCCAAGGTATTGGCCAACAGACTTCAAAAAGTTATTGCTTCAATAATTTCAGATACACGAGCAAGGTTCATCCCAGGTAGAAAGGTGGTTGATAACGTCTTGCTTGCCCATGAGTTAATTAAGGCTTACTCAAGGAAGAACATTTCACCAAGATGTCTCATCAAGGTGGATATCCAAAAGGCTTATGATACAGTGGATTGGAGATACTTATAGCAAATGCTAGAAGGCTTGGGATTCCCAAACAAATGCACTAAGTGGATTATGGAATGTGTGACAATTGTTAACTATACTATACTCATCAATGGGGAAACAACTAAGCCATTTGATGCAGCTAGAGGGCTGAGGCAAGGGGATCCAATATTCCCTTTTTTGTTTGCTACAGCAATGAAGTACTTGAGCAGGAATTTGAAGACTTTGAAGCAGGAAAAGGGATTCCATTATCATCCCATGTGCTCAAGGCTGTATTTAACTCATTTGAGTTTTGCGGATGATCTCCTACTATTTGTAAGAGGAGATGCTGCATCTGTAGCATTACTACATAACAGCTTCAACATTTTCTCAGCAGCAACAGGTCTTAAAGCTAACCTAGCCAAAATCTCTATTTACTATGGAGGAGTCAGCCTATAAGTGAAGCATGACATACAACAAAAACTAGGCTATAGTCAAGGATCTCTCCCTTTCAGATATCTGGGCATACCACTTGACACAAAGAAACTCTCTGTAATGCAATGAAAGCCACTCATTGATAAATAGTGGCTAGGATATCCTCTTGGACAGCAAAGAAGCTATCATATGCAGGCAGAATCCAATTGGTTCAACATGTAATCTTTGGTATTCAAGCTTATTGGGCGCAAATCTTCATCATACCAGCAAAAGTTGTCAAAGCAATTGATGCCTACTTTAGAAGCTACGTGTGGTCGGGGGAGAATATAATCACTAAAAAATCTTTAGTGGCATGGGACAGGATGTGTGCACCTAGAGCAACAGGGGGACTTAACTTGATCAACTTGGCACTATGGAATAAGGCTGCAATCACAAAAACATGCTGGGAATTGGCAAACAAGAAAGATAAGCTTTGGATCAAATGGATCCATAGCTAATACATTAAGGATCAAGTCTTTGCCATCATGGAAGCAGCAAAACATGCATCGTGGATGGTCAGGAAAATATTTGGAGCAAGGGGTAATCTGGATGTCATCAGCAATAGCCAAGCTCACCAAAGGAATGTAATCAAATATGTTTACTTGCAACTGCTAAGAGAGCTGCCTAAAGTCTCATGGAAAGGTTTAATGTATCAGAATCAAGCACAACCAAAAGCAATCTTCACAATGTGGCTCCAAATCCAGGGAAGATTGCCCACTGCTGACAGATTGAAGAACTGGGGAATACAAGTGGAAGATATATGTTGTTTTTGCAATCAAACACCAGAAACAAGGGATCATATCTTTGCAGAATGTGCATATGGTAGAAGTCTATGGTCCAGACTCATGGAATAGTTATAGGTACAACAACCATTTACAACATCGTGGTCTGATTGGCAGCACTGGATTATAAAGAAAACAAAGGGGCGATCTCGGCTGGCCAGGATACTTAAACTAGTATTTGCAGAATACACACACACGGTGTGGATTGAGAGAAATACAAGCATATTTGAGAAGAAAGCAACAACATGGGATGTCCTTGCAAGGAGGGTGGTCTACATGTGAGATACTAGAGCTGAGGGTTATACTCGTCCTTTTAACAAAATGTAAATACTGAGTAGCTAGCTTGTGAGAGAAACTGTATAAATGAGATTAGGAGGCAGGAAAGGTATAAAGTGAGTTGTTTTTTCAGTATGGAAGTAGGTCGTGATGATCTACTGATTTGTGAATAGTTACATTAGTGGTTAATACAAAGATTTTAATTACCAAAAAAAAATATTTACGACTGTTTCAATCGGAGTAATTAATTAAAAATTAATTTTATTTTTAAATTTTCCAACAAAATCAGTCGAAACTTTTAATTTGTATTTATTTTTTTATTTCTGGACAGCGACTGAATCTATCGTAAATTTAGCGACTGATTCGGTTGCGAATGGCTTAATTCAAATGTCCCCATATTTTTTAATTTCCGACTAAATCTGTCGCAAAATTTTGACTGATTCTGTCGCAAATATATAACGACCACGTGTTTTTCGACTGACACTTTTCAGTCGGAAATCTGTCAGAAAAATACAATTTTCGACCGGTTTCTGACTGATTTGACGGTCGCAAATTTGCTGCTTTTAGTAGTGAATTATTCGTGTTGAATTGAACCACGTATTCTTTAAACCACAAACAAATTTAATTATTACCTAATTTTGGGGTAAACAGTTTGGCGCCCACCGTAGGGCTAAGGATAGTAGTGGTAATTTGATACGAATCTCCATAACACACCATATTTTACGCTTGTTCTTTGAAATCTTAATTTCAGGTCCGTCCAAAAATGTCAAACTCTTAGTCTGCTCACTTGAACATTGATGCTGATTTTGGCCATCGCGGCGAATAATTTGGTGCCCAGCAACGATGTGCCTCCTGTCTATCCTAACGCCGTCGCAGCTACCGACTCGACCGATGCTAACTCGCAGGTGGCCATCAACATCAATTTGCCAACTGGTCCCAAAAATAGTATTCGCGGGGGACCCTGACCAATAGCTCGTGAAGCACCCGAAGGTGAAGGTGATGGGGTGGGCCTGTGGTTGATTTTCGAAATGATGTAGGCTCAACAAGCGGCAATAGCATAGCTCCATAATTAAAACCACGCCCCCAACAGGGTCGAGCCCGAACAATCCCGGAAAAGCACCTGAAGAGACGAACAGATTACCAAGAGACCGGCAGAAGTCGAGCCCGGGGTAAAGCGCGTCAAGTTATTTCCGAAAAAAAATTTAAAGATGTGAAGCTCACGCGGCGACATAAGGATGATTGTGACATTGATGTGTGGCGCATTAGAGTGACTTTTGTTATTATTTTTGTATTGGTACGGTTTGTGACTTCTTGTGGGTGTCATGCATTTTACGTGATTTTCTGCGTTATTTCAGTGTGCTAATTAGTGACTCTGTTATTACTTGATGAATTGGTTGTCAAGATAAATTTACGTACGTGGAGTTATTATCTCTTATTTTGTTGAGTTGTTAGTAACATAACAAATTTACATAAAAAAATTGTTATCATACTTTACTTTATTTGATTTTTTTTATAAATTCTAAATAAAAAGATCGTTATCATGCTTTACTTTATTAGAATTTTGATAAATAAATTTTGAACATTTTATTGATAATTGACACGGATACGATATACATGGTGGCAGGAGGCCTTTGTCGTGTGGTTGTGGTGTTTATTGTGACACGAGGTCTTTTCCGTGCGAGTGTTACTTATATTGTGGCACGAGGTCTTTGCCGTGTGAAGGTGATTGATAGTGTGGGCACGAGTGCCATGTGTATAAGATTTGTGATTTGTGACTAGTGACCAGTGATATGAGATTATGTGGCGTGGTACCTCGGGTGGCTCTTATTATAAATTCTGTATTGAACGTTGTTGCATGATTTGAACTGTTATTGTTTTTCTTAATTTATTTTACTTGTATTATTTAACTATGTTTGATTATTTTGATGTTTTATCAAATGTTTACTCTTTGTTGCCATTTATTGACTTTGTTTTCCATTGTTAGCTTTGTACTTAATTATAAATAACACATATATTTTTTATGTCTAGTGAGTGTCTTGACTTGAACCTCGTCACTACTCCACCGAGGTTAGTCTTGATACTTATTAGGTAACAACCGTGGTGTACTCATACTACACTTCTGCATATTTTGTGCAGATCCAAGTATTGGAGGTAGCGGTTCCAGGCAGTGAGAGCTTCTTTTGTCAGTGAGGATTCAAGGTTGAGCTGCTTTGATCGTCGCAGTTCCTTGGAGTCCTTTCCTTACAATTATACCGTCAAATTCTCTGCCCGAACATTATTGTATTTTTAGATATTATCTATGTATTCAATTAGAGTTCATGACTATGTGCTTCCTAGTCTTGGAGATTTGTTGTGATTATCGCCGTATAGGCTTGTATCACCTTTATTTCCGCATGTATATTAAACTCTGCTTTATAATTACGTGTTTAATTGGTTTAATTGTTGTAAGCGATCGGCTTACCTAATTTTAGAGACTAGGTGTCATCACGATCCTTAAGGTGAGTTTAGATCGTGACATTGTCCAGCAACAATTACGCTCCCACATCGTTCTTCTCCTTCCTATTTTGATCATTCTACACATGTAGTACTTGCATAAGTGATTTACGCTTAATTCTTTTAAAGTCATCATTAAAATTATAAACCTGTTATAAATAGAATTTTATTTATGGTGAATGTCTATATTTAGAGAGATTCTAGGTTTTATTACTTGGTGGCTAAGTCACCCTCTCCCTGTAAATAGAGGGTTCTATTCTATTGTAATTCATCCCAAATCAATAAGAATTCTCTCTCTACTTTTCTCTGTAATACTCTTCTTCTTCTTTTATTGTTTCATAACACGTTATCAGCACGAGACTCTAACCAATTTAGTAGAAGCTTTGGTAATGAGCATAATGATTGTCAATTATTCCATAAACTTCCTTCATGATTAAATTTTGGATTTAAGGCAAGTATTTTACTTTATTTTTCTCTTTTAAATTCTTGAAATTCTATAATTTGATTTTATATAAAAGCAAAGACAACAAAGTTTGATTATAACTCTAATGGAGTTTGTAGAAATTATAACCACCTGAAGTGGTAAAATTCTATGCCTTGCCATGACAAATTCATGTATGATTGTGGGCAAAGAAGTGAAAACCCGTCCCATTGAATTTGCTTCATTCTCATTCCCTTAAGAGAATGTGGTAGCAATATGTAATAAGTCTGAAAGAAGATAAAATTATACCGTGAAGGTATCAATGAATGTGAACGTGGCAATAGACGAAATTATAATCGTCATCATTGTGATAATGAGAATAATAAGGATTCTCAAAATAATCCTTCACTCTCTGAAAATAATATTTTGTCATCGATTTGACATGAGATTTTATAAAGCACATACAGATGACTATGGTCAATTCATGATGTGAATGTGACAACATCTGATTTATGAATACATATTCATTCTTGGAAGAATATGAACGTGCTAGTGGTAGTGAATATACCACACTCACCTCTTGAAGGAGGTTTGAGATGATATTAGAAATCAATGTCATTATTATGGCATGAATGGTCATTGGTCACGTACCTATTGTACGCCAAAATATTTTGGCAATGTGATTATTAAAGGACAACAATAATGCAAGAAACATATCTCGCATATAATTTTGACCATGACCATAATGGTATAACTTTCTCCTTAAAAGAGATATTCACCATATGGATGTTGATGAATATGTCATAGTACAAAATTAATTGAGAACTCTGCAAGAGCCAATTATACTATTTTGGAGAAACACAATTGATTACCAATAAGGTATTGTGTTGTAGTAAGTCTCAAAGAAACTTATTCAGTTTCCAAAGTATACGCGAAAGCGGTTGATTATATTGAGACTATAAATAAAGGAAAGATTTAATATCTTCTATTACTACAACTTGTAGCTGGGTAATATGTATGTGAAAAGCTACCTGCTTTATTCTCCAGTTTGTACTACACAAATAAAAGAATACCATAATAAAGTAAATATTTATTGATATAAAAACACATATCATAATAAACTTGGAGTTTATTGATAATTGCACACGTCATGGCGTAAATCTGAAGTTTATCAATATTGATAATTTATTCAGTTGGCATAATTGGTTTACCCATATCAATTTAAGTATGATGTGCAAAAATAAAAGAGAATTCACATGGGTAGATATTAAAGAACTAGAAAGTTCTTTATGAATTCTCTTATAATGCTTGTTCTCATTAATTAATTAACCAACTAAAATTGGGATTGAATCCCATGAATGCTAGAAACATCAAAGATGAATATGGGCCCATTCACCCGTCATGTATACCACATAAGATGCATCTATGAGGTGGTTACATGTGCAATTATTATTAACCCGCAACCTGGCCGGTGTGTGCGAGGTAA